GCTGCCACAAGCCCAGTAACCATCAGAAGCTACAAGAAAGGCCTAAAAGATTCTTCTCTTGTGTTTTCAGAGGGAGTATGGCCCTCCCTACACCTTGATTCAGAAGCATGAGACAAAAGATTTTTGTTCTTTAAGCCTCTCAATTTGTGGTACTTTATTACGGCAGCTCTAGGAAACTAGAACAATGTGGCAATGATGGGCCTGTGCTGGCCTTAGCTAGAGTCTCTGTGGAAGGGTGTTGGTTTGATGGAGCTAAAAATTGTGCAGAGTCCAATCCAAACATCTAGAATAAAACCTGTGTATATTAATCACAGACATATACATGTAAGGACATAAATGAAAAAGACCCTGCAACAATTCTGAGCAACTCTATGAAAACAATGATTGCCAAACCAACCTGCTAGGGTACTTAACCCACACGATAGAAACCTGTAGTCACTGTTGGGTTTCTTAAAAGTCAAGTAATCTGGGAACCAGCAGTTAGCGTAATGGCTATGTCGCTGGACTCCCACGTAGTCGACCGCGGTTCGTGTCCCGGACCCGGTGGCTTAAAACTCACGCCGGGCGCGTGTGTGTGCGTGCCCAAGATCCCGAGAGGAGAATGGAGGAGAAGGGATTGAGGCATGACCATCCCCCCTGGGGGGGTGATTTCTCGCTTTCTGTCTCTATGTCTCTCTCTGTCTGTCTGGCGAGCGCACGCACCCTACAGTGAAAGTCTCTCCAAAAAAAATAAAAAATAAAAAAATAAAAAAAATAAAAAAAAAGTCAAGTAATCTGTATCTCCAGGTACCAGGGCAATTCCAGGATTTAAGTACTCCAGACTATCTCCTTCTATAATTCGGCTTAACGAATATTTATGAATCTGATCAAGTGCCAAGAATTCTTAGCAGAGGCAATAGAAAAAAGAAAACATGACACACACAGTTTCTGCCCTTATGTAGTTTGTTGCACAGTAGCTAATAAGGAAGGTAGAATGATAGAAGAATCTTTCATTTTTTGACATGCAGGAGATTCTATCCACTTACATGCAGCACTTTTCAAGATTCTTAGTTATAGGTAACAGAAAAACAAATCAAGTTGGGTAAAACAAGCCCAGAAATAAAACCCTGGATAATTTGAGGATGGAAGTATGACTTTAGTTAGTTTATTAGTCAGGGTTTTCCATAGAAACAGAAACAATAGGAGGGTTTGGGAGAGAGAGAAAGATAGGGAGGTAGGAGGCAGAGAGAGAGAGAGAGAGAGAGAGAGAGAGGAAGGGAGAGAAGAAGAGAGAAATTTATTGTAAGAAATTTGCTCACATGATTGTGGGGCAATTTGTAGAGCAGGCAGGAATAGACTGGACATTAGGGTAAGAGTTGAAATGACAGTTTGGGGTCCAAATTCTGTAGGGCAGTAGCTGGAAACTCAGGCAGTGTTTCCATATTGCAGTGTGGAGGAGAATTCTTCAGAAAACCTCAAACTTATAATGCCTTCAACTGATTGGATGAGGCCTACCCATATTATAAAGGGTAATCTGCTTTACCCAAAATCTATTGATTTTTAAAGTTAATTAAATCTAAAGGAATATTTTTGTAGTGGGTATTTGACCAAATAATGGAACACAATAGCCTATTCAAGTTGATGCAGAATCAATTACCATAGGTACAGTGGGATCCAGGGACTGCCCTAAGGCCATCAGGAATCTACCCCTTCCCATCTTTATCTTGCTTCTTCTTTAAAAATTATTTATTTGAATTTTATTTATTCATTCATCTTTGGTGATGGCTTTGACACCCTGTCTTCCAATACATGCGCTTGCCTAAATCAATCACTGAGGTCAAGAGAATGCAGTTCTCCAGCTGGGGCAGAGACTGGGGAGAGAGGCTGTTGTGTTATAGAAACAGGGATGCTGGACAGGCAAAATCGAAAGTCAAGCATTAGAACGATCTTATCAACCAGAAAGAAGGGGCTGGGGAGACTATTTAAAAATTTTTTATTTATTTATGTTTTATTCTACTTTATTTATTAATATTCAATCACTGTATATTATTACAGCATACAAAATGCATTTTCCCAGCATGAATACACTATATATTATATTAGTCCAAAGATATTACCATACCCATTATTATCAACAGTTAATTCTCCATTTTTGTGTCCCTTAAATGTTTTACTTCATTTTTTCCCCCTTGATTCCCTCCCTCTCACCCTCACCCATTTCCCACCCTCCTCCTACACTGTCTCTAGAATCCTCAGGAGGATATTTTTGAAGGAAATAAAAATGGTTTGGGCAAAACCAGTCCTTGTGTACTTAATGGTGGGAAGACGGGTGAAGGGAAAGATTGTCTAGGGAAAGTGGAGGGTTCTTGCTGAAATGACCTATATAATCGTGCTGCTGGAGGTGGGCAGTGGTATCAGTGGTCACCAGAGAGCATATGCACCCTATGGACTTGTCTCCATGGATTTAAACCACTTCTGAATCTCATGATATTTTCCTTTAAGAAAAATTTAGTTTTTCTCATTGATTTAAAGTCAGTGATTTGTGTTCCTCTGAATGCAGAATTGCCTTTAATTATAAATGCATGACATTTAAAATTATTTAAATACAAATATTTTTACACCAAGGGGTGTGGAATGTGGGGTGTAGGATGTGGGGATGGAAGCAATGAATTTTTTTTCTTCCCATGCAAAAACGCTGCTAGAAAAATATTTTCCCTTAGTCATCCTCCTGAAAAATCATCCCTCTCAGGGATGCTCGTTATTTAAAATGAAATGGAATTGGCATTTGGAGAGTTTTGAATAATTTAGCAGGACTTGTTTCAGCGATTTCATAATGGTCACAAATGGGTCAAGGCCCCAGTCACTATGGGAAATTAATAAATGTATTTCTTCAGGTGGCCATTGTTTTTCTGCTTCTCCAACCCTCTTCATCTACTTCTACACCCCTAGCTACTTCCATTTCTTTCCACACTGGGGAACAGAGGCTACCTTTTATATATCTTACTCCCCAACATGTTATCTGGCCACTAGCATACAATGCATTGGCGAGCACTGAATAGCACTGAATACTGACGTCGGAGGTGCTCTGGCATTTAAGAAGGTATGGAGTGCCATCACAGTTCCGTAAATTCTCAAGAACAGATCTCCTGTAAAGCAATCAACCACACTTATAACAAGAGCGTCACAAACTTCTAGATGCACAGCTGTGTGCAACAAAAATCTTACATGCAGCTAATGTCTGTCAAATACTTGAGAACAACTCTAGGCATAATATGAAGTGTGCTTTCTGTATCCCCACGCTTCATCTTTACTGTGTAACTATGCTTCCCCCATTTTAATTTAGGTTTTTGTCATTGGGCATGTGCATTCACTGGAGAGAGACAGAGAGAGGAAAAGTGAGAAATCCCCTACTCCCCAGGGGGAATGTCCACACCGCAATCCCTTCTCCATTCTCCTCTTGGGATTTTAGGCATGCATGCACATGCACCTAGTGTGATTTTCAAGACTCAGGGGCCAGGACTTGAACTGCAGTCAGCCATGTGGGAATCCAGTGCCTTAATTACTATGCCACCTGCTGACCCCCAACTCCCCCTTTTTAATAACCCTCCCAGTCATCCATTCATTTTCAATGTTCAAATCACTCCTGCCCTTTTCATTCCTTCCTCCTATCAAAACAGGAAAGGACTGATTTCCACTTTTACTTAATCAACTGATTATAATGTGGAACAAATATATTTCGTTTTCTTTTTTCTCTGTTATATTGGGTCAGCAAAGTCAGGATGTATTTTTCTGTCTTTCTATGCAAAAATGTTTTATGACTTTTCTGATGACCCAATAAAATGGGGGTAAAAAGTGTCAAATCTGAAAGGAAATTCAGATATAAAGAAACAGATAGGGTTGGTCCTTCTGTCCATCTATAGGTGACCCTTTCCTTCTCTCCACCCTTGATTCATTCTTTCTCAGGGAGTGAGAATAAAAGATAGACAGGGTTATCCCAAAGACCAAGGCAAGCAGCACAATACTTTTCATCCTTTTTGGATGACTAGAAGGGAAAAAATGGAAAAAGTGGGATGTTCTTTTTCCTACCTCAAAGACTTACTTCTGGGACCCAAAGATCCTTTTCTGTAGGGATGGTAAATCCACCTTGACTTACCTCAGAGACTTTAAACAAATAGCCTGTTGCTTCGCTCACTTTTAAATGCCAGAGGGTTCATATAAGAAAGAGAGAGAGAGAGAAAAAACACACACACTCCCCAATGAGGTTCATACCAGAGACAGAGAGAGAGAGACAGAGAGAGAGAGAGAACACTCCCCAATGAGGCTGGTCATGGCGCAGTCCTTTGCTCTTCATTCTCTATCTGGTCAGAATCCAGTGACACCTACTGGGCCAAGACTGGAACCCCGGTCAGCCCTGTAGAGTCCAGTTTCACTATGGGTCAGCCCAACTTGCCTCTTTTTCTTTCTTGAACATAGGTCAGTTTCCTTCTTCAACTTTAACCCCACCCTTTCCACTCATGTGCTTGAACAATTACAATGGGCCAACTGAACCCAGCACTGTCTGCAGTTTGCACATGTTATTGCTAATCCAAACGCAATCCTGAAGACAGGTTAATACTGTTTCCATTTGACATGTGAGATTCAGAAAGGCCCTGTCACATCTTCAAGGATCTTTCAGCTCCAAAGCCCATGTCCACAGTAGCACTCTGCCTCCCAGATGTGTTTTAATGTCATCTAGCAGTTTGGCATTCATTTTTTTTTAAAGAGAGATTTTTGCTATAGGGTATGTGTGCTTGCCAGAGAGACAGAGAGAGACAGAGAGACAGAACGTGAGAAATCACACACACCCCGCCCCCGCCCCGGGGGATGGACATGTCACAGTCCTTTCTCTTCCATTTTCCTCTCAGGATTTTAGGCACACATGCACACACACACAGTGTGAGTTTTAAGCCACCAGTCCGGTACTCAAACCTCAGTCAACTACATGAGAGTCCAGTGATGTAACCATTACATCATCTGCTGGTCCTGGCATTCATATTTTAAAACTTAATAATCTTGTTATTCTACTGCTTCTCTAACCTGGTATCTTAGATCACATTTCCATATCTTTATATTATTTCCATATTCACAAGAATGCCACCTGGGCACTTTACATGCCACAGAATCAAGATTGAATGCAAAAGTGCTTTGATGTTCGCAGTTTTTGTTAACTCAATCAATTCACCTAGTTGCTTAAACTAGAAACCTGAGATCCTTGACCCCCTTTTGTCTTGCTTTCTTTCTCAACTGGTCACCAAGTTCTATAGTTTCTTTCTCCCATAGACATAGACATATAGTGCAGATCTGCCCCTGGACTTTAATTTTTTTATTTTGTAAGAGTCCTAACCGGTCTCTCATTCAAACCACTACGTTGTCGCCACAGTTCTTTTTTTTTTTTTTCCTAAAATATACATTTAACTATGTCACTGTCTTGCTTATCAAGTCACAGAATAAGGTCACAATTCTTAAGCGTGGCATGGAAGAGCTCTTAGGATATGTCCTTATCCCCATTCACTATTCCCTGCCACGACCGACTCCTTGGCCAGTTCCCAACTTATCCTGTCCTTTGAGTCTGCTTTCGTAACTGCTAGTCTTTTGATTTTCTTGTTCCACGTGGCCATTTCCTAGTCATATACCAAGGCCAAGTACACGCATCAGTCCTACCCTCCCTCATTTCTCTGGAAATTTCAGTCTCCTTGTACCTCCACAGCTCTTGATACATACCTTGATTATAAAAACACAAACTGTTCTTCTAGGGTCTGTTGATGGTGCCCCTCTCACCACTATAGCAAGAATTAGAGGCAAACATTTAGTATCTCAGATGACATCTGGAACTTAGACACCTTGCACTGCTTCTGGCACATGATAGATCCTCAATAAATATTGTCAGGTTGAATTTAATTGAAGTAGCTGTGAGCAGCAGGCCATTCCAGAGTGTCTACCTTCCAGCTTTGTGCTTTAATACTGATGTACTAAGGTCCGAGGGCAATGCTTGTCTTCTCTTTCTATGGTCTCTTCTTTTTCAAAGTCTTCTTCCTGTTGGTAACAGCACCATTTCTCTTTTAGATTCCCAGTGACCTCCTCCAGTTTTGCTCTGATCCCTCCCCAACTCAGGAAGATTCTAGATCAGTACTTGTATACCAACTGCAACATTGATCCTTGTTCACTTGAGCTGTGACCCTGGGCAAGC